AAAATAAATAATAAAAATAAATAAATAAGAAAATAATAAACATAATATTTATATTAATAAAATATTAAATGATATAATTAATAAAATCAAATATAACATAATATAAATAATAAATATGATAAATAAGAATAAAATAAACACAAAAATAAGAAATAAAATAAATAACAAAAATACAAAAACAAATATATTCAAATAAAAAATAAAATAATATAAAAAAGAAGAAAAAAGAAGAAAAATATAATATAATCAATTATAAATGTTATATGATTAATATATAATACATAATATATAATAAATAATAATTTCATATGATATAGATAGAAGATATAAAAAATAAATAAATAATAATAAATAATAAAGAAATAATAAGAGAAATGATATAATAATAAATAAAATATATAAAAGAAAAGATAAATAAAATCAATATAATATAAATAAAATAATAATAAATATAAAGAGAAAATAGATATAAAATATAAAAATATAATCAAAATGAAAATAAAATAAAGAAATGTATTAATATATAAGAAAATATATATAAATAGAAGTGTATTAATATATAAAATAAAATATAAATAATAAGAATATAAAACTAATAAAATATGATAAATATAAAATATATAGATAATATGATGATATATATAATACAAGAATAAAAATAAATATAATAATAAAATATATAAATATATAAAAATAAAATACATAAATAACATAATAATAAAATAATAATAAAAATGTTCACTTTTGGTGAATTAAATGTCTTTTCTTTTTCATTGATATTTCAGAACAATTTATCATGAAATGATATAAAATATAAAGAAATATAAATGAATATAGAATGAGTATTTAATTTACTTTTTTATTTTTTATTTTTTTTAAGAACAAAATAATAAAAACTATTATTTTATTGATTCAAAATATTTTGCCCGAAAACAGAATATTCCATTATGCAAAAAATATATTACACTATTTTCATTTGAGCAATTTATTTAGATGCATAATTTCTTCGCTTATTTTGGTTCCCAATAAATAATAAATATAAAATATATTATTGTTGTTAATTCTAAATACAATCTATATATCAATATAAATGAAATAATGAATAATAAAATGAATAATGAATATGATAATGAAATAATTAGAAGAATGATATAATATTGAACAATAATGAAATAATAAATAATATATAGATAGATGATATTCAAAGAAATGAATAATGAATAAAATAAAAATAATAAAACATAAAATCAAAGAAATAAAATAAATAATAAAAGAAATGAATGAAAATAAAAATAAATAATAATAATAAAATAATGATAAACAAATATATCTATAAATTAAAATTAAATAAATAGATATTTTAGAATATTGATTGATTCAAATTTTATAGATAAAACTACTACAATCAATTCATTGAATTCAATCATTATTAAAAAGAATTCATTTATCCATTTAAATAAAATATAAGATTGAATAATATTAATTGTGTATAGAAATGATAAAATATTAAAAAATGAATAAAATACTATCCACTTTATAAATACAATATATCAACAATAGAACACATTCTATTATTTTGTATTTGTAATAAAAAATCACAAAATGAGAAACATGATAATATTTGTATTATTATATTAGATAATAAGAAAATATAAATGAAATAATCAATATAAGAAATCAACATATGAAACAGTGTTCTAATACAATGACATCAATATCATATTGAACAAATAAATGATATCAAAAAGTGATTAATAATAACATAAAATATCAGATATATATGTAATAAATAAAAAGAATAAAACTGATCTAATAATTGATATGAATATTGTTGTATATCACAATATTAATTGAATATATTTGAATAAAAGAAATAAATATAAATAAATGAAGAATATGATAATTAAAATAGAGAAAATTAAAGATATCAAAATAAATGCAGTAGTAATTTCAATAAATTAAATAATAAATTTAGAGAGGATTAAATTAATAAAAGAAATAAAAATCTAAATTGACATCATAAAAGAAATTAAAAACCATGTAATTAAAAACATGATGGATATCATTGAACATTGAATCTACCACAACCAAACATATATTGTTGAACTACATGAAGAAGAGTTACTGATGAGATTAGTCTCACCTGAGCCATGAATAATAGATCCAATTCTATTAATACTTAATTATTGCTTTTAACTGTTTTAATAAAAAGTAGATAATTAAGTATTAATAGAAATATTTTATATTGTTCATTGTTCAGCGGAGATTAACTAATCCATCCCTTTGCTTTAGAAGTATTTGTTCTTCAACTTTTGGCTTATTCTTTGTTTTTAGTTGTTGAATTATGACAATTTCATTTTCTCGTTTTTGGTGTGGAATAGAGTATTTGAACGTCCCTTATTTAAATATTCATTATTTAATTTCTATTTGATTTTGATGGGTTTAAATTTCTTCTTTATTTTCTTATTTTAAGGAGAATATATAATTTCTACTGTATTGCTATGAGTTAATATTCTTTTTACAATCAACCACCAGACCCTTTTTTCTTTATTAATCTTATATTATCAAATGTACTTGTATCATAACAAGTAATAATACCATCTTTATAAATACCCATTCTTTTATTATCAATGATATCACATCATTGTAATTAATACACACTGCTATTCTTGTAGTATTGATTAAGATGTTTTTCTAACTAAAAAAAACGTCATAACCAGTCCATAACTGGTGTATTTGAATGATGGAAATATTTTAGGATTCTGTGTGGTGTGTCTGACGTGCTACCTTCGAATCACCCTTTTAACTATTTTATAAAATATAATAAAATTATTGTTGTATAGAAATAAAAAAAATAAATTAAGGACGATAACTTTAATCTGTTGTTCAGGTGAAAATTTCTCCTATCATCATCTCCAAAGGGTCCACTTCTTTTGGTTCTTATTCATCTCTGTATTCTCCAGAATGATCACTTCAGTATTTTATATGTCTTTCATATTTGATGTACATATCTTATCCATTATTTCCAATACAATTTTAAAAAGAATAAAGCATGATAAGAATACATAAATTGATAATGATAATAAATGTAAATAAAATTAATAAATTAACAACGTAATAGAATAAAACAATGAAAACAACAATCAAATCATACAATAATAAATGTTATAATATCATTTATTTGAATGTTGTTTCTTGAAAAATAAAAAAATAAAAAAATAAAAAATAAAATGATGATTATCTTAAAAATATTTTAAGTTCAAAACTAAAATAAAAGGAAGAACTAATAAACAATAATAATCATTCAAGAATGAAATTAGGATATAATGAAATAATGATAGAATCAAAATATTTTAATAACATTGACGATTTTATTAATTTAGAAATAGGAATTAAAAGATTTAGAGGAAATATGGAACGATTTCATTTTAATCCAATTCCATTAAATGAATATTCAAGAAGATTATTTGCTAATATTGAAACACTTCATATTTATAATAAAGAAGATGAAATATTTAAAGATGGAAAAATATTTAAACAAGTAATATGGTATTTAGTAAATTATTCAATATATTTTAAAGAAAAAGAACAAGGAAATATTTATAAAAATATAGAGTATACAAAATATGATAGAAATAAATATGGAAATACAATACCATCAGAAGTTAAATCACTTGGATATAAATGTTTTAAAGAATGTTCATCATTACAATCAATTAATATACCATCATCAATTAATGAATTAGGATATGAGTGTTTTGATAGACGTTGGTCATTAACATCAATTAATATAGAAAATCTACAATTTATTAGTAAAGAAAGAATATTTATGAATGAACCACTGTTAGTTAGTATTAAAATACCAAAAACTCTACAAATAATCAATGGAAAGAATATTGAAAAGAAAGACATTAATGAATTTATCATTCCATCTTCAATTACTAAATTAGGAGATGATTTTTTAAAGGATGTACATCATTAAAATCTATTACTATACCATCATCAATTAGTGAAATACCAAATGGATGTTTTGAAGGATGTTATTCATTAACATCAATTATTATACTAACATCAATTACATCATTTGGAGATGGATGTTTTTATGGATGTTGATGTGAAGAAGAATTAAAAAAGAATGATGCAATACCAGAATGTTGCTTTGATAAATGGTTTTTTAGAAGAAATAAAGAAATAAGATAATTGAATTGATTAAGAATAAACAGTATTTTAATTATTATTTTAAGTGATATTAAATACATAATAAACAATTCATTTGATAATAAAATATTCAATGAAATAATCAATTGAATGAAATGTAATAATTTCATCATTTATTATTATATTATGTTGATTTATTTCTATTTCTTTTATTTATTATTATATTATTTATTTCATTAATTTGTTTGAATATAATTAATTTATATCAATTATATTTGATGATGAATATTAATGATAAGTAATTGATAATTATACAACCAATCAATCATTTCATAATATGAATAAGTAATAAATATTAATTCATCATTATTGTATAATAATTATTATGTTAATTCAAAATGATAATTTAGAAGATTAACATAGTAAGTTGAATGATGATATTACTTCAAATATCATTCATAATATATCATTTCATGTATTTTCATTATGATAATATCATTTTGATTGTGTATTCTAATTAAAATACTTTTTAATGAATCACAACATTTGTTTGTATTTTATATTTTAATATCATTCATGAACTTCTTAATCTAATGTAGTTGTATATCTTTTAATTTCATAATGTTCTCAATTAACTATTTATCAAATAATTGTAAAATTGAAATGAATGAAGTAACAAAAGTCGATAATTAACATTATACATTTCAACTAATTTATTTCATCTGTATTTAAATTATTCATTCGCATTTATACTTCAATATAATTGAATAACAAATAAAAATAAACAATACAATAATTGATGATATGAAAATGAAAGAAGAAGAATAGATGAAATTAACACATTTGTATCTACAAAGAAATAATAATGATTTAGTTAATTTAATCAATCTTGAAATATGAAATTGATGAATAAAAATGAAAACAAACAATATTTTCACAATGATAATTGAATAACAATAAACAAATAGTTTGATGAAGTATATAATATCAGATTTTATTTGTTTGATAATGAAAATGAAGAGAATGATTCGAAATAGTGAATAAATAAGATGAATAATAAAATGATACAGATTATTAAATAAACAATATTAATATTCTTTTATAAATACAATGTTAAATTTATTGAAATCAATAATATAAACATGTATAAATGAACTCATTAATTAACACATAAATAAATGATAATAAATGAAGAAAATGATAATGAAAATATTAATAAGAAATGACCATTATGATTTGTTTAAGAATTTAACAAAATGAAAAAATAAAGAAACAATAAGAGTAAAATGATATAGAATAATAATATAAATAATAACATATTTAACACATCTTTATATTCACATATTCATTCATGTATCATTCTTATCATGAACCGAATGTTATTAAATTATATGTGATTGTCATTATCTTTCAATTTTATATTTAATTCATCTTTTCATCTATTTTAAATTGAAATCAAAGAAATTAAATTAATGAAGAATGAGGAAATATTGAATGATTAATATGATAAAAACACTTTATTTCAAAACAGATAATTTAATAAACATGAAAATGGAATAAAATAAAAGAATAATAATAATAAAGAAAATAACAAAGAAAGATAAAGAATGAGAATAAAGAATAAAAAGAAATAACAAGTTCAACACAGCAACATCTTTACATTAATAAACAAAATAAATGAGAATAACAAAATAAAGATAAACAACAACAAGAAAGATAAAATATAATAATATTATTTTCATCTTCTTCTATTTCCAAATTTCACTTTTTTATTTCATATCATTCTTTCACTTCATACCTTCTCTTATTTACTTTTTTGTTGCCGTTTAAAGCAATAAGGACGGTATTAAAATGTGTGAGGATATTTTCATTGATTGTAGTTGCACAAAGAGAAAGAAATAGAGTGAGAAATTTATATTTTAAGACATTATTAAGACAAGATGGACATGGTATGATTACAAAGAATCAAGAGAATTAACAATAAGAATAGCAACAGATATTAAAAACTTACAAGATGGAAATGGTCCAAAATTTGGAATGATTTTTCAAATATTCTCAATAGCTATTACAGGTTATATTCCTGAATTTATTAAATCATGTGATCTAACACTTGTACTGATAGTAGCAGTTCCATTATCATATTTCTTTCAGAGATTTCAAATGGTTTGAATGAAATATGAAACAAAAACATTAAGTGTGTTTGAACTATTTGGTAGTATTCTAGAAGAAATAATAAGAAATAATAAGAAATAAAAGAATAATTCAATTATTAAAACAAGAACATAAATTTAATGAAGAAAAAAAATAAAAGAAAATGAACATTTTAATAAAATCAAAGGATAATGTTTTGGAATAGGATTTGGTTTTAGTATGTTTTATTTTTTGTTCATACTCACTTGGAATTTTGTATAGTAATGTGGTAATTAGAAGAAAATGAGGAAGTAAATGAGTAATTACTGTTAATGTTTTAAGAGTATTCTTTTTACTGTGAACTGAACCTCAAACATTAGCTATGGTTACAACACCTAAATTTATTATTTTTAGTACAAGTATCAGCTTATAAAATATTTACAACAATTGGTAGAATACAGATATGATTGTCAATCTACAGTTGGTGAATGTTTTAATAGATGTAATGTGAATATTAAATTTAAAGATGTTCAATTTGTTTATCTAACAAGATAGTTTCATTAAATATTAAAAGGCTTAATCTTAAAATTAAGAAAGGAGAATAATTGCAATAGTTAGGGCATCAGAATATTGGAAATCAACTAGTATTCAATTAATTTAAAGAAGTCATGACCCAATTAGAGGAAAAGTAATAATAGATGTAAAAGATATAAAAGAATTAAATATTAAATGGTTAAAAAATCAAATAGGAATAGTTGAATAAGAACCAATATTATTTGCTGAAAGTATTATTGATAATATTAAAAGAGGTATTCATAAAGGTATTGAATTAAGTAATGAAGAAATTTATACTACTTCTAAAATTGTAAATACATATGATTTCGTTTTAGTAATACCAGAATGATATAACATAATGTTAGGTGATAGAGGAAGTCAATTATCAGGAGGACAGAAACAAAGAATTGATATTGCACGTACATTAATTAGAAATCTAAAAATATTATTACTTGATAAAGCTACATCAGTACTTGATTCAGAAAATGAAAAGATTGTACAAGAAGCAATTGACAAAGCGTCAAAATGAAGAACAACAAATGCTATTAATTATTTAAAATGCAGATCAAATATGTGTTATTATAAAAGGAAATATTATAGAACAATGAACACAACAAGAATTAATAGAATTGAAAGAATTTTATTATACACTTTCTATACAACAATTTAGAATAGTGAATTAATTCAAATAAGTAATAATTAATTAGTGACTCATTTTATTTTAATGTAAAAATATTTCTTTATCTTTTAAAAATATTGTAAATATAATAATTATATAAAGGTATTAGTTTAAATAATAATATTTTATATTTTGAATATTAATTTCATTAAACATTATTTTAATGTTGAAAGAACTAATTAAAACAAATATACTTATTGTTATATTAATCTACTTATAATTTGACATTAATTCAATATTAAAATATGATAATATACATTTATAACTAATAAATATTTTATAATAATATATTAATGATAATAAAAGTAATAAACATAACAATAGTATTTTAATATAAATTATTATTATTAAAAAGTACTTTTTGTTGTTCAATAACTTTTATTGAATAATCATTACTAAATAGAATTTAATACAATACAATGACTAGAAAATAATATTAAACATAATAGAATAAGAAAATAATAAGAAGATAATAAGATAGTAAAATATTGATATAATAATTTAATCCATTATTTTAATTTGGTTTAAAATGAATTGGTAATAATAAATAAAGTGTAAATGATTATAAACAAACCATACTCATTTAGTTTAATTATTATTACAAATCATTAATTACGTAATCAATGTATTAATTATAAAATATTTATATCTTATTAATCAATTGATAATTAAATTTATTAATACTGATTTATTTACGTAATTGATGTATTTATTTAATGTTAATTTATTATCTCTAATATTTAAATAACTTGTAATTACTAATCTCTACTATAAAAGAATAATAATAACTAAATAATATTTATAACTAATTTAGAATAAAACTAATATTCATACAATAATCAATCATATAATTTATAATTAAATGAATAAATAAATTTAAATTAAATAAATATTCAACCATTGATAACTGAATGATATAAATTGTTCAAATAATTTTAAATTAAATTTAAAATAAGTAATTTGTATTTTGGTTATTTAGTTCAATAAATATGTGTTTTTTGTATTATGTTCATTATTAGATTTTAATATTAAACTTTCATTAATATTTCTTTGTTTCTTTTTTTAAAATTCATCACCAATTTTTATTTTAACCATTTTCACTTCTATTGAAACATTCTTTATCAATAAAAATATTATTTTTATTATAAACTTTTATTGGTATGACAAATGGGTTTAATGTAATGGTTGTATGTTGTTTATGTGAATATTAAATTAAATAAATAAAATTACTTGAGTAACTAAATTATTTATTATTCTTTAATAAACTAGTTTGGTTTAACTTTTTCATGTAAAACTACTTACTATACAATTTTGAGTAATTAAGAAATAGTCATTATCCATTTATTCTCTTTCATATCTATTTCTGATTATTACTAACATAGTAACATAAATCAAATAATATAAGTTGGATTTTTATTAATTATGTTTTATTTTTGTTTATTTAAAGAAAGGAATTTGAATAGAAATAAATTAGAAATATAGAAAAGAGAAATAATCAAATTATGTTTGTTTTAAA